GTGAAATAGAAGAGAGAATAAAATTTAATTATTAAATATATAATTTTTTTAAATATTATTATTTAAAAAATTAAAAATATAAAATATAAATGGTTCTTTTAACGGCAAATATTTAAAAAAATTAGACACTTTTTTCTTAGTAATTTTTTTTACACACCTAAAATTAAGATTATTTTCTAAAATGATAAATACAAATATTTTTAAATAACTTTTTAGGTTTAACAATTTTCTCTTTTAACTTTTAAAAGCAAAATTATAATATTGTTTTCAAATTTTTATGGTCGAAATTAATAAAGGGTAAATTGGACAGATGGTCACTAATGTTTTAAAAAAATTTTGTTTTACTTACTGAAATTTTAAAATTAATAAATTAATCACTCTATTTTTATCAATTTATTATAAATTGATCGTTCACCGTTAACTGTCGTTAATATGAGGTGACGGAAAGCTGAGGTAAACCGTTAATCTCTTATCTGACCCATTGACTGCTTACCTGACTCGTTGAATGCACTAAGATTAAAGAACCCGAAGCTTTATTACTTGAATCCTGCAACAATTTATCCCGGTGGAAGATCATCCATAGCTATATGATAAGAACCCACATCATCTTCGACATCTTCGCCGTCAGACCCTTCCTTTGGAACATTTTCATTAGATTACGCTCACGATGTTTTTTCTTAGATCGAAGCCGCAAATCTCTTCATGTACAATGCTCTGATCAAATGGTTTTCGAGTGAAAACCCGATTAAGTCTTTCCACTTCCATTTCGAATTGTTACACAATGACATTGTCCCGGATTATCTCAACTTCTCGTTTTTGGTAAGGGCGTGTTCCTAGTTGGAAGCCATTGATATGAGGAATGGGGATTCAAGCTCTTGGGCAAGTTAGAAAACATGGGTTTGAAAACGATGTTTATGTGCAGAACTCATTAGCTCATATGTATTCGAATTGTGGGTATGTTAAGGCTACAAATGAAGTGTTTCAACGAATGGCTTGTTCTAATGTGGTTTCATGGACTTCGATGATCGTTGGGTTTAATAAAGTTGGTGATGTTGTAATGGCCTGTGAATTGTTTGACAAAATGCGTGATAGAAACTTGGTTACTTGGAGAATGATGATTAGTGGTTATGCCAAGAACACTTACTCTGACGAAGTTGTTGATTTTTTTTCAAGTTTTGAAAGGAAAAGGTATTAAAGCTATTGAGACGATTATGGTTGGTATGATTTTTTTTCTTATGCTCATTTGGGTGTTATTGGATTAGGTGAAAAAGCTCATGGTTATATCGTTAAGAACAATTTGAGTTTGAATGTGAATCTTGGGTCTGCTTTGGTGGATATGATGCAAGATATGAGTGTATTGAGAAAGCTATTAAAATTTTCAAAGAAATGCCTGAAAAATATGTTCTTAGTTGGATAGCTGTTATTGTTGGTTTGGCAATGCAGAGAGGGCACTTTGGTTCTTCTCGGAAATGAGGAAATCAGGGTTAGAAGCTTGTTCTTTGAGTGCCGGAGAAATTGAGGTCCCCGATTTGGGGTGCGCTTTAATGAATAAAATGATATTACTTTTATTTAAAGTTTAAGAGATGACTAGTCAAGTGAGGCGATTTTTTCGATATATTACCGGTGACCGGTAATATTATCGATCTAACACCGGTCAGACTATATTTTTTGATCTAACACCCTTAACAGTAAAGCACGTCCCCTGCACCGCGTTATACGATGATTTGGCGCCACGTGGGGTATAGCGCGCCCCTTGCACCGCGCTATACCTGTATATCTGACACGTGAGGTATAGCACGGTGCAGGGGGCGCGCTATACCCCTAATTACTGACCCCTCCCGTCCCCATCCTCCTTATAAATATCCCATCCTCAATCACTTTTATCACACCAAATTCTCTCAAATTCTCTAAATTTCTCTCAAATACTCTATTTTTAAGGTATATTTTATAATATTTTTACTATTATGTTTTTACTTTATTTAATATTTTACTAATATAATTTTTTTGCAGATATATAATGGAAGGCAGTCTACTTCGCTCGGATAGAAATCATATATCTTTACACTTTGCTGATACGGTAATATTTTAACGTTTTAATTTAAATTATTAGTAATTTTTAGTTATTTATTTAATGCATGATTATTATATTAATAATTAAATATCTCGACACTTTGCTAATACGGTAACATTTTAACGTTTTAATTTAATTTAAATTATTATTAATAATTAGTTGATTCATTTAATGCATGATTATTAGATTAAGAATTATTTTTTTAATTATTTATTTTTAGGAGAAAAATCGTGTATTAGATCATTTTATTAGGAATCTTAAGTTAGTGATACCCAGCCGTGTCTTGCCGTATTTAGTAGAGGCTGGATTCGGTTACATAGGTAGATATCAGGGTCACTGTAAGATAGAGCCAGACCTGATTTCTACCTTAGTAGAACGGTGGAGGCCGGAGACCCACATATTCCATCTTCCGTGCGGAGAGTGCACGATCACGCTTGAGGATGTTTCTATGCACCTGGGGCTTCCGGTGGATGGAGATGTGATATCGGGGATAGCTTCCGGTTATTGGATTGCTTTGTGTCGGGATAGTCTAGGACGTGTCCCGGAAAATTTTATCAGAGGTAGGATACTGATAAATTGGTTAGATGCCAATTTTCGGGAGTTGAGCGCAGACGCCTCTGAGGATGAGGTTAAGATGTATGCACGGGCATGCATACTGCAGCTGATAGGAGGGTTGCTGATGTCGGACAAATCGCGTAACCTAGTTCACTGCATGTGGTTGCGATATATTAGGTCGAAGAACCTATTACTTGCACGCCTTCCCCTTGAACTGGAAGGCATATCGACATTGAGATCGAAAAAGCTCGCAGTCGAATGCCTCCCCCTAGAGCTTGAAGCCATCGCGTCAAATGGAAACTGCACAGATGGTTGCGTCGATGGCATCTCCATATTAAGGTCAAAGGGATTTGCAGATGAATGACTTCCCCTTGAACTGGACGCGATGTTTCCATACGGATTGTTCGTTGACCTACCTCGGTACATATCGTAAGGAGTTGCAGATGAATGTCTCCCCATTATGGCATTAAAATCATTACACATTACTGTCGTCGTGCTGTCAACTTGATCAACTTGTTCAGTCAGCCCATAGTGGGAGCTTAATGATTGACCCCGAACAGCACACACTTGAAAAAAATGTGCATACATCTCAATAGCGGCGTCTGAATAATTACTTTGAGCTTCAACCATCATTTCAACATCATCATTGTTCGAAAGTTCGAATGCTGTATAAGTTAATGGCAACAATGATGTTGGAAATTTATACTGCAACGACGACACTCTTCTACTACTTCCAACATGAATCTTCCTCGAAATCTTCGTTATCAGCTCCTCAAGAGTTATGTTTCTCTTGAATGATATTTTAACACGCTCATTTGATACGAAAACAACGTCGGTTTCATCTTCTCGAATTTCACCATCATAATAAACAATAGCTGAAAGTCGCGCCATTATTTGAGTTTAAAAGTGCGGCACTATTATATCTGCAAAAAAAATAAATGAAACAAACATGATTTAATAAATTATATATGAACGAACATATAACACAATGAAATTTTTACACATCAACGTAAATAAATTAAATAATATAATTTAATATTATTACATGCACCGCAAAACTATTTCGACGTACGCTCTCGCTTTCCAATTTTACAAACACAAAAATTAATTGAAAATAATTAGTATAATATTTTTTCATATAATCATAATAAACAATAAATATAATAAAAAATTATAACAAAATTACATTATAACGAAAAATCGCACGAACTTCTAAATAAAATATGAGAAGATTGCCAGAATTATTGACTCGTTGACGGAATTGTTGTATTAATTTATAAGTTGAGAGGAGAGATGTGAGAAATTAACCGGCGGAGAATGGTATTTATAGCGAGGAAAGTTATACAAAATGCGGTACCTGCCCCGCGCTATATAAAATTATGTCAGGAGTAAAGGTATGTCGCAGTACCTGCCCCGCGCTATATAAAATTATGCAGTAAAGGTATAGCGCGGTACCTGATCCGCGCTATACCCCTACGTGGCGTATAGCGCGCTGCAGGGGCCGCGCTATACCTACGTGGCGCCAAATCATCGTATAGCGCGGTACAGGGGGCGCGCTTTACTACTAAGGGTGCTAGATCGGGAAATATAGTCTGACCGATGTTAGATCGGTAATATTACCGGTCATCGGTGATATATCGGGAAAATCGCCGTCAAGTAATGGTCCAGCTCAACTTTCCGTCATTCATATTAATGACAGTTAACAGTGAGCGATCAATTTGTAACAAATCGATAACGTTAGTGACTAATTTATTACTTTTGAAACTTCAGTGGGAAAAATAAAAACTTACTTAAACATTAGTGACCGTATGTGTAGTTTACTCTTAAAAAAATTAAGTTCCAAGAATTTATAATATTGTTTCTTAGAGGTTTATAATGTCAAATTGGTCCCTTTAATTGTACCTAAATATCATATAAACTTTTGTTTCTAATTATAGATAAGTAAATCATTATTTAAAAATTGTAACAAAATAAGCCATTAAATTATACATTTTTATATCTGACTGAAAGTGGGAGCACATTATTTTTTTTGTCCTCACAGTTTTGTAAGACTTTATCCTAATTAATCTGGATTGATTTATCTTGTACATCTGATTTTGGTAGACTAGTCTCCCAATAAATATTTTTTATACACATAACTCAAACTTAAAATCTGAAATGAGATCCGAAAAGGGGAAGCTATTTGATATTAAAAGAACCAATTTTACGCCACAAAATAATTTATACATTTTGCGGGGAAAGAACGAGTCAAAAGCTCTATCCTAAACCCATGCAAAACTAACAAAAACCCTAATTTTAAGCCGAATAGAAGCATTAGATTTCACGTATAAAATCATCCCTGAACTCTCCTCCTCCTCACCTGCAGACAATAAAAACAAAAAACAATTAGTTTTTGTTCAACAACTTAAGGCAGGTCTCCCACAACAACACCATGGACATGAAGAAGATCTCTTGCGCTGTCATCTTTGCCGCCGCCTCTATGAGCACAGTCATGGCAGCCGGCGTAGCAGCACAAGCGGCCACCCCAAGTTCAGCCCCAGGTGCCTCCCCAGTTGACCACTCATTGGGTGGCGCCGCACCAGCTTCCGCACCAGGCCCTGAAGACAGCGTTGCAATCTGCACCTTGCCTGCTCTTGGGTCCTTGGTTGGAGCCTTCCTTGTGTCTTTCTTTGCTTAAATATATAAATTGTATATGATAAAAAAATATTATATATATGTATTGGAGAGCTCAAATTCGATTACTTGTGTTGAAATGATTGAAGATTAATCTCTTCACTTCATTTCTCATATGAGAATTTGAATTACTTGTGATATTTTGCAATACAAATTTATCCGCATTATTATATTTGATTCCTTGTCCCTTTTTTCATCGTCGTTCCATTAATTCTGGCCATCGTAGTTGTGTTTTAGAGCCATCCGGTTTCGATTTATAGTGCTGTTTCCAAGTTTTGACTGGTGTGATCTATTGTCAATTGTATTTTCACACAAATATGACATATAAATTATTGCAAATTACTGGAAATCTTTTGTTTGCATCAAAATTACCAAAAGATAATTATGTATATTTAGTTCCATTGATTGTTAAGGATGAGTGCGCAGAAAGAGTGGTGTTAATAGGAGGACAAGTTTATGGACTTTATTGTCGAAACAACTTTTAACATTGTTAGCTCAGGTTGTAAAATCGGGTAATCGTTCAGGTTTCAGTCGGATCCTGGCAGGTCGGGTAAAATCGGATACAGGTCAAGTAAGGTAAATTTGACATCAGATCCAGAGGTTCAGGTCAGGTCAAATCAATTCGGGTTATTTTCAAGTTGATTTGAAACCATATCTAGATTGGGTTCAGGTCAGGTCATTTTCAGTTCGGATCGTTGTCAGTTCAGGTCAAAACAGTTCAGGTCCGAAGCAGTTAAAAAGCAGGTTAATTCAGGTTCGGATAAACTTCATGCGGATCTCGTTCAGATCATGTCACATCATTGGCAGATAAAATTCAGGTCGAATCTCTATCAGATACAGATTGAGTTCAAATCGGGTTAATTTTTATTTTTGGATTAATTATTTCCGTCTTTCGCGAATGTTGAATTGCAATTTGTAATTGTATATGATTTAGAGTAAATTACTAAGAATATAAATAATCATGGTTCAATTTTATGAAAAATACAAATTTAATAATTAAATTGAACAAATATAAAATTACAAATAAAAATTTAAATAAATTAAACAACATACATTGATGAGGGATCAAATCAAACTAATTTTAAATTGTGAGGTTGAAATTAATAAAAAAAAAGTACTAAATTATAGCCATTTAAAAAGATATGGGCCAATTAAAAAATAGAATTAAGTAATAAGTATAGATCAATTTCAGATGCAAATAAAATTTGGAGGACTAAATTGAACAAATATGAAATTACAAATAAAATTTTAAATAAATTAAACAACACACATTGATGAGGGATCAAATCGAAATAATTTTAAATTGTGATGTTGAAATTAATACAAAAAGTACTAAATTATACCCATTTAAAAAGTTATGGGCCAATTTAAAAATATAAATAAGTAATAAGTATGGGTCAATTTAAGATGCAAATAAAATTTGGAGGACTAAATTGAACAAATATAAAATTACAAATAAAAATTTAAATAAATTAAACAACACAGATTGATGAGGGATCAAATCGAAAAAAGTAATTTTAAATTGTGGTGTTGAAATTAATACAAAAATGTACTAAATTATACCCATTTAAAAAGTTATGGGCCAATTTAAAAATAGTAATAAGTAATAAGTATGGGTCAATTTCAGATGCAAATAAAATTTGGAGGACTAAATTGAACAAATATGAAATTACAAATAAAAATTTAAATAAATTAAACAACACACATTGATGAGGATCAAATCGAAATAATTTTAAATTGTGATATTGAAATTAATACAAAAAAGTACTAAATTATACCCATTTAAAAGTTATGGGCCAATTTAAAAATAGAAATAAGTAATAAGTATGAGTCAATTTCAGATGCAAATAAAAAGTGGAGGACTAAATTGAACAAATATGAAATTACAAATAAAATTTTAAATAAATTAAACAACACAAAAGGGATCAAATATGAAAAATATTGTAAAATGGACTAAATTAAATTCATTTTAAAAGTTGAGAAAAAAATTAAAACAACTAATATATATATAATATAAACTATATAGTTTATGTATAAAGTATATGTATTATATATATAAACTATATAGTTTATATATATATATTATGTATAAACTATAAATATTGAACTATATAGAAACTACATAGTTTATATATGAATTATATATAAACTATACAATTTATATTTATATATTATGTATAATTATAAATAATATATATTGTATAAATTATATAGTTTATTAATATAAACTATATAGTTTATGTATATAGTATATATGGTTTAGGGTTTATAGTTTAGGAATTAGATATTAGGGTTTAGGGTTTAGGGTTTATATTTATATTTATATAAACTACATACTATAATTTATACTATTTATATAAACTATAGTTTATATTTATATACTATATATATGAACTATAATTTACATGTGAACTATATATATACTAAAGTTAATATTTATATATGAACTATAGTTTAAATATAAACTATATAGTTTATATACTAACTATACTTTACATATAAACTATATAGTTTATATACTAACTATAGTTTACATATAAACTATAGTTGATATTTACATATGAACTATAGTTTACATATGAACTATATATAAAAACTATATAGTTTGCATATGACCTATATATATATATAATATAGTTGATATTTATATACTATATAGTTTACATATGACCTATATATATATACTATATTTTATATTTATATACTATATATAAACTATATATACTATATAGTATAATTTACATATGAACTATATATAAAAACCATATAAACTATATACTATAGTTGATATTTATATACTATATAAAATAATTTATACTATAGTATATATAAACTATATAATATATATAAACTATATATTATATAGTTTATTAGTATATATAAACTATATAATATATATAAACTATATGGTACATATAAACTATACATTATATATATTTCATTAGTATATATAAACTATATATTATATAGTTCATTAGTATATATAAACTATATAGTATATGTAAACTATATTAGTGTACTATATAGTTTATACTTTATAACCTATAGTAAATAAACTATAGTTTATATTAATGTACTATATAGTTTATAGTAATGTTAATTATCTTAACTATAATTTATATTAATATAGTATATAATTTATTTGTTCTTTGTTCTCCCCTTTTGGTTTCTTTTTTCAACTACATTTTAATGTCGTTAACTAGTTATCGTCCGAGTGACAAAAGAAATCTAATGTATTAAGTTTAGTGAGAAAATTGAAAAGATTTAAAGTATAGTGAGTGAAATAAGAGACAGAGTAAAATTTACTTACCAAATTTACCATTTCACCACTAAATAAATACATGGGAAATTCTGTTGCATTTGAGGAATCAACTAAGGAAGGCGGGAGAGAATTGAAAACGAAACCAAACACGCGCGCGAACTTTAAAAAGAAAAACCCACTAAGTTCCGCCAATTAGGAATCTGAAATGGCGCCTATTTCAATCTAACAAACACAGCCGTCCACGTGTATCTATACCTACACAGGTAGACTCATTTTTAAGATTTCCCATTCTTGTAGAGATTTCCCTATAACCTCGAACCAGCTTCGCTCTTGAGAAAGATCTCCGAGTATCGAGTTATTTTCCCTTTTAATTTATTGTTTTCAGCTAATAATGAGTCTTTCGACTAAGCAGAGTGTTAATAGAGCTATGAATCCTTGGGTTCTTCATCTTCAAAAACTGGGTCTGGAGCTTAAATGTCCTCTCTGGTTTGTCTTCTCACATTCTGTTCATTTTGTTGTTGTTTGATTTGTATTTTTTTTAATTTACTGTTATCTGAAATGTTATCTTTTGCAGTTTGAATTTGTTTAAACGGCCATTGTTGATGCCGTGCGACCATCTGTTTTGCGAGTTAGTGCTATCTCTCTCTGTATATATATTCATTTCTGAAAGTTTTGGTTTTCATTGCTTAGTTTTCATTTTTTTAATTGTTACAGTTCATGCATAGCCCGAACTGAGTTTGGATCAGAGTGCTCTATTTGCAAATCTCAATGTGCAGATCGAGGTGCATTTCATTTAACTGTTTCTTTGTTTTCCCCCCTTAAAAGTTATTGGGAGCTCAATAAGGTTAATATTCGAGGTTCTCTCAATGGAAGACCAGTCACAGGAGATGAATCATTCAGTTCAAATGTTATACATGTTCACAGCTCATGTATCGAATGGTATTTTACTGAATATTTTATATTTTATAATATTAAATTAAAATGGAAAATGTTTTTTCTTACGAGGATGAAAGTTTCAGTGAAATGCCCCGACAATGTCTTCAAATGCAGGACACCTCAAGTGTATTATGTTGGTGATTCTATTAAGAATCTTAAGGCAGAACTTGCAAGGGGTGCGAAGTTGAAGTGCAGCAGATGTGGACTAAAGGGGGCCTGCTAATGATGTCATGCCAACTGAAAGGTTAATAATCAATGAAAATGTCTTGGATATCTTTCAGATGTATATATCTTCTTTTCTTTGCATGCTTATTGAAGGAGTTGATATATCAATTCTTTTTCTAGATTTTTCTAGTCATGGATAAAGACTGATTGAATTGTCTGGAGGGTGAACTGATTGTAGTTCTGCATGCATTGGTCAGCTGAAGTTCAACACCTTATGGGGCCAGCCAGAAAATAAAAAAGATTGGGTTTTCTGTGGATCTGCTTTGTCTCCAGAGGAGAAGGTAAGATTAGATGAAACTCATTTTGTTTTGACCCATCTGATGATATTTTTCAAGCATTGATTTCTTTTAATTGATCTTGTTTGGTGTTAAAAGTTTGAACTTTCATGATTGATCGAGTGGATGCTTTCTATCTAATTTGGAGATTCTTTCATGATAGGCTATCCTTAATAGCCTTCCTTTCACAACAATTGATGGTATTTGTTTATTTATTGTTTTACCTTGTTGCAGTTCCTTTTGATCAAGTTTGCAAAAATGATTGGCGTAATTGTAACGAAGTCTTGGAGGTCGGATGTCACTCATGTGATTGCTTCTACGGATGAGAATAGTGCATGCACCAGGACGCTTAAAGTTCTCATGGCCATTTCAAATGGGAAATGGGTTCTTAATATAAATTGTAATGCAAATGAATTTTAGCTTATTTTCTTTTCCTTTGTTGAATGTGTGATGGTTAATATTCAATCATTATCGAACATAATATTTACCGACAAGTGAGTACGTATATGAGTACATTTTGTTATGTTGATGTATTCATATTCTTATTTCCTATTGCTTTTTTATTTGTAAATTTGTCATTTTACCTTATTATTAGCTTGTTGGTTCATTAATTTTCCTGTGACAAGCAGAAAATAATGCTCTTTGTATGTTTTAGAAATAAACTTTATTCAAACAAAAATGGAGGGATTACTTTTTATTAGTTATTCTTTAGCTAAATATTCTCCTTAATCTCGAGTATGTTTCTAGTTGTTTCTCAATATCCTATGTGGTTCTTATTTGTTGAATCTCAATGTAGGCTTTACCCTTTGAATTGTAAGGGTTTGGTAAAGTCGAAAATAATTGATACTGTTGGCTATTGAATTCCCTTTGGCTTTACTATTGATTGTATGTTTTATTAATGCAAGATGCTTGTTGAATTGATGCAATGATGCTTGTTGAAGGTATATTGATGCTTGCAGGTTGCTATTCTATTACTCATTCATGCTTGCAGGTTGCTATTCTATTACTCATTGATGCCTTGTAAATTATTGTTGTTGGTGTGACTTAAATCAATTTTTGAACTTTATAAATTCTTATTTAAATAGTTACTCATATGGAATTATATTAGTGGCATTTTGTTTTTTTAAAGTTAGAAAGTTGCCCATAATTAAACATGTTGACAACATTTTGATATAAAGGCTCGATGATGATATTTCTGGTAGTATAGTTAGGCTTTTAGCCTTGTAAAACTTTAGCTATAAGATTTGAGATTATTTATTTCAATATAAATTTATTTTGTTTAGTTGATTTTATTGTAATTTTAGTGTTTTCAAGTATAATAAAATTAATTTCATTTATAAATTTTTTGTTTTAGTATTTGTAATGTTATTCAAGTTTCAAATATTTAATAAGTTCAACATTTCAACTAATATATTTTTATTTTAAAATTTCAAGTTAAGTACTTAAATTATTAATCAATTTTCACATTAAAAGTAAATTAGATTTATGAATATTTTAACTTAATTAATATAATTTAATAAAATCAAGTTCAATAAGAAAATATTTAAATTTAATTTAGTGATTGTAAATAAAATTTATAATATAAGAAATATAAATAATATAAAGAATTGAAATTAATATAAAATCCAAATTTAAAATATATAAATTATAATTAATATAAAACTAAATTTCAAAAATTAATCATATTAATTTAATTATAAGTTTATTATAAATTTAAAAATAACATAATTATATTAATTGTAACTTCAAGTCAAGATAATATCAGATCATTTTAATAACATGTCAAATCATTTACATGTTGAGTCAATTATAAGTCATGTTCAAAACAGGTCGGATAATACTAGTTATTTACCAGGTCAATCTCGGGTTCGAGTTCTTATCAGTCGGATGCAGTTCAGGTTTGAGTATCATATTTTCGATTCAATTCGGGTTCAGGTCATTCTCAGGTCGGGTTCAGATCCACAATTTCTAGGTCCAATTCGGGTTCAAGTCAACACCAGTTTCGACTCGAATCGATTTCGGATCACCACAGAACGGGTCAAAAACAATTTTAACTTGAGCCTGTTTCAATCAATTTTACAGGTCGGGTCAACTTTTTAAGCCTCGATGCCTTTAAAGTTTGAAGCGTATGTTGGGCTCACTGCAACCTAGTTAATCAACATGTTACCTTTAAGACCGTTAGGTAATATCTCTCCATATCAAAACTTTTTGTTAGAAAAAGGTACCATTAATTCAATAACGATATAGAAAAATAATAATAAATAAATCATTATAAAATTAAAGAGATAGAACGAGTATATTGTTTTAAGATTGTTGACCGAAGTAACAAATTAAGACAAAATCAAACAAAGAAGTTAAACTTCATAAAGTAAATCAAAATTAAATAGAAAGAAAAATACTCTTTCATTTTGGTCAGTTGATATCGAAATCAGTTGAGGCCTGTCGCTACACAATTTTCTTTAGACAGATTTTCAACAACTCCTTTGGTTCTTATGTTTATTGGTTGTCTGTCTCACAGGATAAAACAACATGTGATCAGTTACAGTAGCACATCTACAAAGATCACAAACTATCTTTACCTTCGACTATTACCGAAAAACTAGTGGAAGAGAATATTTTCTAAGAATGAGAGAAAATATTTTTCAAGAGAATAAAAATTATTCAATTCTGAGATGTTTACACTTAGTTTTAATCTAGCATGTTAACTCACTATTTATAGGGATTTTCAAGAGAAATTTAATTCAATTAGATATCATTTAATATTCAACTTTAAACAAATAATAATATATTTTAATTTGAAATGTTTAAAAGATAAAACTCCTTTTACTATTCAAACTTAATAGATATTATTTTAATTTGAAATATATAAAATTATCTTTAATAGTGAAAGTTAGAAAGATAACAAATATTTTTTTAAATTAACATATTCAAAGAATAATTATTCTACTAATATTCAAATTAAATAATATATTTAATTTAAAATAATAAAAAAATATGAATTTAATATAAATATTAAATTCATCAATTAAATTCACTTTTTTTCAATACTTCTTCATAAATGTATTATATTATAATGATCTAAGGGTGCAACTTCTTGAGTGATCTCAATGATAAAAATAAAATGTGTTATTGTCTTAGAGATTCAGGATTTGAGTAATTGCGTCTACATAATGTGTTTACGTTATCAATAATAATAAAAAATATTCAGCTGTCTATGTGTCCCTCACCTCAAACCTTTCAATAAGTGCAAAATGGACTTTATTATCAAAATCGTGCTTTTTTTGGGCTACTCACCCAAACACCGTAGTTATCGATGTTTCTCGTATGCATAAACAATTTGGGTGGGACATTAAGTAAAATGATCATAGCACATTGGCAACATCAAAGGTTTCGTCGCGGGTGTTCAGGGTTTAAAATTGACGTTAGTCTCACAACTTTCCGGATTTGGATTCAACCCTATCCTCTCTGCCAAAGGGGTGTTTCCATCTGCACCCAACAGTAGGAATGGACCTAGGGGAGCGGGTGGGGCGATCACCCCTAAAAATCTAAAATTATCTTATATTTTAATTTTTTTTATGTATTTTCTATTGAAAATCTATTTTCACCCCTAAAATTTTATAAGTTCAAGTTCGCCTCCTAACTTAAAATCCTACGTTCGTCCCTACCCAACAGTCTTGTTCAAAATTACATAAACTGGTTGATCCGAGGCCCTCTCATTTGTTTTATAAGCTCTTTGGCAAAGAGCTTTGCAATGGCAGAGGAACAAACCAATCACCAATCAGGACGATAGCAAGTGAATCAGTCAGACTGGCACCATCTTTATCTGTGAGGAAAGGAGCAAGTGATAGCTTTCAATGTTGCTCCTCCTCTTAAGGAGCAAGTGATAGCTTTCAATGTTGCTCCTGCTCTTAACAACTCAACTGTGTCTCATAGCTGGTGTAAGCAATAAAAGAAGTGCATCTAGAGATGGCAGAAAACTTCGAACCAGCAGCTTCTTTGTTTTCGAAAACCTAGTTTCAGATAATAAATGAAAATAAAATTGAAGTCGAGCAAAAACAATGCCCCACTTGTTGCCATCCTAAGTGCAACCAAATCCTTTCATAAAAGAAACGTAGATAAGACGTGCAAATGGACCTTTCCTTTTAACTAGAACAAAGGCAACATTTTGTAGCAGTTAAGGCAATTCGCATCCGGATAGTTAAAACAATGTTTGCACTTTCCATATTTCTCACATCCAAATTTACATAAAGAAATCTAGGTAAGACCTAATGCCGCTTCCGTTTTGATTTGTTGGAGGCCTTTCGGCTTTCAACTTTCCTCTTTGTAGCTTCAAATTCTTATTCAGTGGGTTCAGACTCTGCATTTCCCCCATATGTGGACACCAGTGATGAAAACATGGAATCAAATGGGTCTTTCCTCTGATTTCTACGCTGAGATATAATTGCAAGTAGATCTGGTTCTGGCTGTTTCATCGATCTGTTTAATAAACAAAAATGAAAAGAGGCGCATATTTTCGAATCAAAATCAGATGACGTAAACATATTAAAATTCTAAAGGAAAAACCCATTACAAGACTCACTTCCCCTTCCTCCTCGAGGGACTCGTAGGTGGCTTTATTTCAGAAACTTTCTTTGCCCATTTCTTATAGGCTTTGGTTTCTTTCAAGTCTCCTACACAAGAAAGAAACAACTTGGGGGGGGGGGGCGGGGCGGAATCTCATCTC